GCAGCAGCAGCAGCAGCAGCAGCAGCAGCAGCAGCAGCAGCAGCAGCAGCAGCAGCAGGGCAGGGCGACCTCTCAACTCCCGACCCCCCCCGACGGCACTTTTGGGGGCTTTCCGGGTGTTTCGGGCTTTTTTTTTTTTTTTTTTTTTTTTTCTTGCCGGGTTTGGTTTTTTTTAACCCCTTCTCCCTTGGCCGTTCCCGGGTGGCCGCGGGTGGTCGCCTCCTCCCCGGGACCCCCGGGCATGGAGGGGGCGGCGGGAGCCCGGCGAGGCGGGCAGCGCTGACGGGCGCCCGGCTCCGCGTCCCGGGGACCCCCATGAGCGGCTGAGCGGGGCCGGCGCCCCCCGCTCCGTCCATGGGCGCGCTGGAGCCGGGCACCGGAGCCCCCCGCCCCGCCGCCCCCATGCTCAGCGCCGCCGCCGCCTTCGCCAAGGAGCCGCCGGGCCCCCGGGACGCCGCCGCCTCTTACTACGGGGACGGGGGGGGCGGCGGAACCGGGAGCCCCCCCGCTCCCTTACGGCGCTCCCGGAGGCTTCGGCGGCCGGTTCCTGGGGCCGTGCCCGCCCTACCGGGCGCCGCCGCCTCCCGCCGCCCCGGTGGAGGGTTACGCGGGCGCGGAGGGAGGTTTCGGCGGCGGGGGGGCCCCGCTGTGCCCCCCGCTCTGCGCCCTGCCCGGGTACCGCGCGGCCGGGAAGGTGCAGGTGATGCTCAACAACTACCCGCTCTGGGCCAAGTTCCACAAGCACCAGACCGAGATGATCATCACCAAACAGGGCAGGTGAGCCGGGGGGGCTACCGGGGAGGGGGGGGAAAAAGGGGATGTACCGGGGCGGGGGAGCGGCGGGAACCGGGAGGCACCGGGAGGTGGGACCGGCGTGGCACTGGGGGGGACTGGGGGGGACTGGAGCGCACCGGGACGGACGGAAGCGGCGGGGACCGGGGCGGACCGGGGCAGGGGACTGTCGGAGGAGTAGTGGGAGATCGGGGCGAGGGACCGGTGGGGACCGGGACAGAGAACCGGCAGCGGGACCCGCACGGACCCCGGAGATGGTGGGAGTCCGGTGTGGGCAGAGATACGGGCACGGGGGATGCGGGGTGGGCACGGCGGTGCAGAACGGGGGGGTGGGACAGGCCGGGGGGGCTGTGGGATGGGCCCAGAGGGAGCCGGCACGGTGAGGGGCTGAGGGTTTCTGCCTCGTGTCCTCAAAGGGCTGGAGGTGCGAGAGGTGTTTGTGGGTCTGGGGGTCCCTCTTTGCCCGCGCAGTGGGGGGGTGAGGTGTGCAAGGGGGGATCCCCCCCATCCCTGTGGGTTAGGGGGGTGACATTTTGCAAAGGAAAAAAATGGGGGGGGGGAGGGGGAAAGCAGAACGGACTTCCCTGATTTTGTTTTCTATGGAAGTTGAGGCTTGTTGGAAGGAGAAGGGAGGATGAGGAGCCTCCCCACTCGTGTCAGGGTGGGACAGGGGGGTCCAGACCCCCCACATCAGGAAACTGGCAGAGGTGGTGCCAGTTCTGGGGGCCTGGAGGCAGCGTTTATCTGGCCTCAGCCCACGGGCTTGATCCGGAGCCTGGCACTGCAACAAGTAGTGAGAGCCCACAGCCGCCCCACGGGCACCGTGGGTGGGTGGGTGACACCCCCTCTACTCACTTTCCGTGCTGGAAATGCCCCCCCTCCTCCATGGGCCAGACAGGGGCTGGGTGCCCCCCTCTTCCCTGGGGAAAGGGCAGCATTTTGGCAACGTCCTGGGTGCTCAAACCGCCCTTGGTGACGCCATGGCCGGGCACCCTCTGCCCCCTCTGTGCTACCTCCAGCCTGGGGTGTTCACAGGGTGTGAGTTGGGGGGGTTGGGACAAGGTTGGGGGGCTAAAATTCCCCCCAGCTCTGCCAACACCCCCGTTTGGGGAGTCTGGGTGAGACACAGGCCCTGTGGGGCCGTGGAGCCGCCACGACTCGGAGCAAGGGGAGCCCAAAATGCTGAGCCCATCCTTTGGCCCCACGGGGTGATTTGGGCAGGGGGAGCCAGGGCTGCAGCCTGGGGGCCTCGGTGGGATCGTGCCGGGGTGAGGAGGGGGGAACACGAGCACGGCAGGGGCTCAGCCACCCGAGGGGCTCCCAAAAACCCGCGCCGAGGGGGAAAACAGGGCAGCACCCCCCCGCTGCGTGCTCAGCAGCTGGTAGAGAACCCCCCCAGCCCCTCCTGCTGTTCCAACCCCCCCTCCCCTCCCGCTGCCATCCCTCCGCCCAGGGGGGCTCTTCCCGGCCAGCACCGGGGCCGCCGGCAGCGCCCGCGCCCCTTTCCCCTCCCTCGGCCGAGACAGATGGTGTCACTTCGATGCTGAGACCAACCTGCTTAATGTGTTGGAAGTCTAAACACGTTAGGGCCGCTTGGTTTGCCACGGCCCTGCCCGGGCCCGGCTCCCCCCGCCGGGCTCGGGGCGGGTGACGCGTCCCCGGCGCCGGCCGAGGGGGTGGCGGGGGTGGCAGGGCACCCCAAACAGTTGTTCCTCGCACTCCATCCCCCCCAAATGGTTGTTCCTCGCACTCCATCCCCCCCAGTTCGTAGGGAAACACGCTGAAATTCCAGTTCTTCCCTCCTCTCTTCCCCCGGGCGCTGGGGCGGCATCAGGGTCTGGCGCTGAGGGGAAAATGGGGTGACCCCCAAATCCCGTCGTCTCTGCCCCGCTGCCGCCGACTCCCAGACAATTTTGAGGGTCTTTTCCCAGCTCCATCCCCTCCCCAGCGTCCCTACAGAGGTTCTGGGGATGGGAGGGGGTGTGTGTGTGGGTTGCTCTGAGCTCAAGGGGGCTCACGGCAAACCCGGCCCGTGGAGACGTCGAGCTCGGAGCCACAAAACATCCGTTTCCCCCAACCCCCTGAGCTGCTCTTGCAAACCTCGGCGTGCAGGGCCGGGCTGCAGCGCTGCTGAGGCACAGGAAAAACCCCAGTGTGGGGCTTGAGAGGGACAGGAGCCCCAAAATGGGGACCCAAGAGGGATGTGTGCCCCCTAAATGAGGATCCACCAGGCTGGGGGGCTCTAGGGCAGGGCAGGGGGCACGTTCTTGTCCTGCTGTTGGCGCGGGTGCCGTGTCTCTCCGGGCTATGCTGGTCCCTCAATGCCAGCATCCTTGGGGTGCAGCCCCCTGTGAACCCATGGAGAGAGCTGAGGGTGATTGGGAGAGGGTGGCACTGGGATGAACCTGATCAGGCGCTGGGATTTACCCTCCTGGCATAATTTTTCTGCCCCTTTGCCCCAGCTCCAACACGCCATCCCGTGCCATCTCCCCCCATCCCACACCATCCCACCCCCCGTCATTCCCTCAAAGATAATTCCCTACAGGTTTCCCGTGTGGCTCCCCATCCTTCCTGCGCCCCCCACGATTTTTGGGGCTCAGCCAGGGCAGGACTTCTCTGGAAACCCCCAAGGACTCGCCGGCGCCCCGACTGCGACGGGCCCGGGGAATTCCTGCCGTGGGGCTCTGCCCTGAAACCGGGGCTGCCTCTGCAGTTTGGGGGCACACGGGGGCTGGCTTTGCCTTTTGGGGGTTCACAAGGGCTGGCTTTGCATTTGGGGGGGTTTAGTGCTGCCTTTGTGGGGTGCAGGGGCTGCCTTTGTGTTTGGGGACACAAGGGCTGGCCGTGCCTTCGGAGAGGACACCGGGAGGCCTTTGAGGACGTGGGGCTGGCGTTGCCTTTGAAGGGGACACGGGACAGCTTTGGGGACACCAGGGCTGGGTTTGCACTTGGCAGACACCAGGGCTGGCTCTGGCTCAAGGGGCGCTGGGCGAGGCCGTGCACGTGGGGGGGGGGGGCACAAGGACTTTTTGGGGGGCTCAAGGACTTTTTGGGGGGCTCAGGGACGGTGCCCAGCTGGCAGCTCTGCGGGGTTGGAGGCAGCGGGGCGGCCATGGGGTGACATGTCCCCCTGTGTCGTGCTGTGCCACGACATGTGGCTGTACCATGTGGCTGTACCATGTGGCTGTGCCATGTGGCTGTGCCGTGTGGCTGTGCCGTGTCACCCACACCGGGCAGCACAGCTGTGCCACGCAGCACCGTGCGGATGTGCCATGTCCATGCCACTGCCCATGTCACTGTGCCATGTCACCATGACGTGCATTGCCGTGCCACCACCACATGCCACCACACCATGTCACCTCACCGTGTCATGCAGCTGTGCCACGTCACCGTGCCATGCATTGGTGTGCCACCACATCATGCCACCCATTGCTGTGCAGCTGTGCCAAGCTGCCATGCCATGTCTCTCTGCCACACATTTCTGTGCCACCGTGCCGTGTCCAGCAGCCGTGCCATGCCACCGTTCCATGTCACCATGCCATGATTTGCTGTGCCACCGTTCCCTGTCACTGTGTCACGCGTTGCCACACAGCTGTGCCATGCATTGCCATGCCACCATGCCATGTCACCATGCCACTTCCATCAGCCATTCCATGTCACCGTGCCGTGTCCAGCAGCCATGCCATACCCCTGTGCCATGTCACCATGCCATACCCCTGTGCCATGTGTCACCGTGCCATACCCCTGTGCCATGTCACCCTGCCGTGTTCAGCAGCCGTGCCACCCCGCCGTGCCCTGTCCCCGTGCCACCCCTCCGTGCCGCGGGGGCTTCACCATCTCCCACTCGGCCGCGGTGGCTCCTGCGGTCACCGCGCTGCCGTCCAGGGGAGAGAAGGCGGCTCAGGAAGCCGCAGCCCCCTCTCTCGATGCGCTACCGGGGGTGGTGGTGGTGGGGGGAGAGAAGTAGGAGAGGCACAACTGCCTGGGGAAGGGGGGGATTGCGCTCCTGGACCTCCAGGTTTTCCTTCCGCCCGGGGTCATCCCGGACGCGCTCCCTGTGCCTCCATCACCGGGGCTCCGAGTCACCGGGTGACACCCTGGATGTGCCGCTGTCCCCCCCCGGCTCCCTCCCCATGTCCCCGTGTGCCCCCCAACCCCTCGAGCGGAGGGGTTCATTCGGGGACAAACCTCGGGGCGCGCCGAGAGCCCGGAAACAAAAACACACAAAGGGTGAGACGCGCGGTGCCCACCAGCTTTTGGGGTGGGGGTAGAACGGGGTTGGGGCACCTCCCAAACCGCAGTGACCAAACCCGGGGGAGCCGAGCGCTGCCCGAGCAGCAGCAGCCCCGGGGAGCTCGAGCGCTGGGGAGGAGGGGGGGGGATTTAAAAATAAAAGGCGAGGCGAGCGTGGTTTCGGGCCTTGCCCCCACCCTGCCGTGCCCGGCCGGGCCGTGCGGTTTTCCCCCCGCGGCAGCGTGTGAGCTCCGAGCCGCGCTCGCTGCCAGCGGGGGCTCGGGGCTCCAAACGGAGAGAAAAAAAAACCCCAAAACCAACTAAAAAAAAAAAATAGACTGGTTCTTTCCTCCCTGCTCCTTGCAGCAGCTCGGGCTGGTGCAGCGCCCAGGGTTGGGGCTCGCCCCGCGGTCACCCGGCCCCGGGCTCGGCGTTCGGGCGCCCGGAGCGCGGCGGCACCGAGGTGGTTTTTAATGCGGCTGCTGCAGCTTTTTATCGGCGGCAGGAAACCCCCGTCCCTCGGCACAGCCGCGTCTGTCTCGCTCCAGAGGAGCTTTAGGGATACAAGAAGGGGGGGACGGGGGCTGTGAGGGCTCGGAGGGACCCCGGGATGTGCGGGAGCACCGTCCGTGCCGAGCACGGGGAGCACGTGTGCAGCTCCTCGCCACGAGTGCTGCTTTCTCTGTTTCTTTCTCTTTTTCGTTCTCTTTTTCTTAAGCTCTTTATCTCCTTCTTTTTATTCTTCTTTTTCTTTATCTTCTTCATCTTTTTATTCTTCTTCTTTGTCTTCTTCATCTCCTGCTTCTCTTTTTTTTCTTCTTCTTCTTTTTCTTCATCTTCTTCTTTTTCTTTCGTTCATTTTTCTTCTTATTTTGCTTCTTTTTCTTAACCTTAATCTTAACTTTAATCTTAATCTTCTTTTTCTTTTTTCGTTTTCTTTTCTTTTTTCTCTATTCCTTTCTCATTTCTTCTTATTATTCTTTTCTTCTTTCTCTTTCTCTTCTCCCCTTTTCTTCTCTTTCTTTTTCTATTCCCTCCCCCCTCCCCTCCTCTCCCGCGAGGGCAACTTTGAGTCAGCGGCACCCGCCGACTTTTCTTTCCACCACCCTTTGCATTCCACTTCCCCGCCGCCGTGGCACTGCCCGAGCCCCGTTTCCTGCCCGGCACAAGGAGCTCCGTGTTTCCCCCCAGCCCCTTGCTTTAACCCCTGGGGAGAGGGACGAGCAGGGTTCAGGTTTTTCCCTTCCACCACGGCTGGAGGTCCCGCTGTGAACCCGAATTGGGGTGACCGGGCTCGGGGATGGACATGAGGGGACTGATCAGGGAGCGGGGAGTGCGACCTCCCACCCCAGAGCCGGGATTTGGGGGGACGGCCGAGGGGGACAGCGGGGTGCAGCCCCTCTGGGGGGGTGGCAGCTGCATCCCCGCGGCCGCAGGGTCCCCCCCGGGCCGTCCCATCCTGTCCCCTTCCTGCCCTTGGCACAGGCTGGCGCCCAGCCCGAAATAGCAGCGGTGTTGGTTTCCGATCCGGAAGGTGCTTGGGGAGGGGGAGGAAGATACCGGGAGGGGGGGAATCGGCCCCGAGAGCATCCCCCAGCTGCCGGGGTCACTCAGCTCCTCACGGGCACCCAGCCGGGCGCGGGAAGGGGGGGTTGGCATCGCGCTGCCTCGGTTTCCCCATCACCCCCCTCCCCGGTGTGCCAGCGGCCGGGCCGGGGGGTGACGGTGTCTCTGCGCCTCTGTCCCCTCCCCAGGCGCATGTTCCCCTTCCTCAGCTTCAACCTGTCGGGGCTCAACCCCGTGGCCCACTACAGCGTGTGCGTGGACGTGGTGCTGGTGGACCAGCACCACTGGCGCTACCAGGGCGGCAAGTGGGTGCAGTGCGGGAAAGCCGAGGGCAACATGCCAGGTACGACATCCCCGACATCCCCCTCATCTCGTGGTGCCGGGAGCGGGGTAACGCCCTCCCTGCTCTCCCCCCATCCCGTCCGCAGGGAACCGCCTCTACCTGCACCCGGACTCGCCCAACACGGGCGCGCACTGGATGCGGCAGGAGGTTTCCTTCGGGAAGCTCAAGCTCACCAACAACAAGGGCGCGTCCAACAACGTCGGGCAGGTAGGTGAGGGCCCCGCCGCCGCCCCCGGGTCCCCCCTGTGCCCCTTCCCTGACCGCCCGCCGCCCCCCTTTCCCCCCCTCCAGATGATCGTGCTGCAGTCGCTGCACAAGTACCAGCCCCGGCTGCACGTGACGGAGGTGAAGGAAGGGGAGGGGGAGGACGGGTACCCCTCCCCGCACACCCACACCTTCGCCTTCCCCGAGACGCAGTTCATCGCCGTCACGGCCTACCAGAACGCCGACGTGAGTACGAGACCCCCCTGCTTGGGGACACCCACCAAAAAGCCTCCCCCCAGCAGCACAGGAACCCCAGCGACCTCCCCGGGCCACAGAAACCAGTGGCACATCCCAGTATCAGACCAGTGACCCGCCAGGAGCAGCCCCTGGTAACCCCCCAGCACCCTCTAAGGTGTCCTCAGCATCAGGAGAACCCCCCCATGGCATCCCCCCAGGCCCCCACGTCTGCCAACACTCCTGTCTGCAACATCTCTGCACCCCCTGTGTCCCCTCAGCATCCCAGTACTTCCCTCTGGATCCTTTCAGCATCCCAGAAATCCTCCCAGTATCCCCTGCATCCCCTCTGTATCCCAGTACCTCTCTCTGAACCCCTTCAACATCCCAGTTCCCCCCCAGTATCCCCATGAATACCCTCTTCATTCCAGTACCTCCCTCTGGATCCCCTCAGCATCCCAGTATCTCCCCCTGGATCCCCTCAGCATCCCAGTAGCCCCCTCCCGGTACCTCCCGCGTTGGGAAAGGGTGGGATTCTGACGCAGTGGGGGCTGCTCGAGGGGAAAGGGATGGGAGGGACATCCTGGAAGGGATCAATCCCTCAGCAGTTCCCCCACCTCCGTGTGTCCCCCCCCCGCCAGATCACTCAGCTGAAGATCGACCACAACCCCTTCGCCAAAGGATTCCGGGACAACTTTGACTCGTGAGTGTCCTGAGTGTCCCCCTCACCCTCCCGCCGGTGCCCCCCCGGCCCCGGCCGGCAGCAGGGCACAGTCCCACCCCTCCCTGTGCCCCCCCAGGATGTACACGGCCTCGGAGAGCGACCGCCTCACCCCGTCCCCGCCCGAGGGTCCCGGCTGCCAGCAGCTCCTGCCGGCCCCCCGCTTCCAGCCCTTCCTGCCCGAGCAGTACCCGCTGCCCCCCGGGCGCTTCTTCGGGGGCGAGCGGGGGGCTCCCCCTCTGTCCCTGCCCCCCAAAGACCCCCCCCACTGGTACTTCCCCCCGCAGCAGCCCCCCCCCGCCGCCGCCGCCGGGACGCTGGAGTTCGGCGGCTACGACGGGGGCTACGGGGGGGGCAAACTGGTGCCCTACGGGGTGAAACCCTTCGCCCTGCCGCCCGCCCCGCACCACCCCTCCCTGCCCTACTACCCCCCCGAGGGGCCGGGGGGCTTCGGGGTGTCGGGGGGCTGGAGCCCCGGGCAGTACGGCCCCAAGGGCGGCGCCGGGGCTCTGGGCTGGTACCGGGAGCCCCGCGAGGAGAAGGGCAAGGAGGCGGAGGGCTGGGCCCCCGAGCCCCCCGCCCCGGCCTCGGGGGACTCGTCGGACTCGGGGCTGTACGAGTGCAAGCGGCGGAGGGTGTCCCCGTACCCGTCGAGCGCCGAGAGCTCCCCCCCGGCCCGCAACGGGGACCTCTACGACAAGGACCCGCTCGCCGACGGCGGCTACTACGGCTTCTACGGCAACTGAGCCCCCGCCCCGGGTCCTGTGCGCCCACCACCCTCCCCCCCCCCGCTATTTAACACCCATATCCTGGGCAGACTCCAGCGGGAGGAGGGGGGGCCCAGCCAGACAATCAGCCCCCGGGGCGGGCAGGGAGGGGCAGAGGGGGATGGCGAGGAGGGTTTTTTTTTTTGTTGTTGTTGTTGTCGGTGGTTTTTAAGGGCGGGGGGGGGGTCGCGGGGAGGGGTAATGCTGAAGTATTTATTGAGTCCCCCCCCCCGTGCCCGGTGTGGGGCGGGGGGGGGCAGCAGCATATCGCAATAAAGGGGCACTGTGGGGACTCTGCTCGGCTCTGTGTGTGTGTGTGGGGGGAGGGAAACAGGCTCGGGGAGGGGGGGCTAAGGGTGCCCTCCCCCTTCCTGGAGGGTCCTGAGCCCCGGGGGTGTTGCAGGGGGGGAGGGAAGGAAGCTCTCTGCACACCCCAACTCTTCACAGCCTTTATTAGAGCAGCCCCTGGGCACAGTTTGAGGGGGGAGGGAAGGGGGGCAGAGGGGTCTTCCCGCCCGCGGGCACCCCCTGTTCCCCCACTCCCAGGCATCTTGTGCCCCCCCGGGGCAGGGGGGGCACTGCCCCAGCTGTCCCCAAGGCTCTGCCCCGGGTCGGGGGGGTGGGGAGGGCATTGCCAGTGCCCCCCCCTCCCTCTTTTATATCACAGTTTTGTTTAAACACCAGCAAAATGGCTCAGAGAGGGCGAGGGGGGGGGGACACTGCACCCCCCCCAGTGCTGGGGGAACCAGCCCCACTGCTGTGATGAGCTGGGGGGGGGCTCAGAGCCCCGTGGGGGGGGTGGCTACCAGAGCACTGCACTGTCCAGGTGGGCAAAGCCGGGGTCCAGGCGCAGCTTCCAGTAGGTGTTGTTGGTGACCCACGACTCCTTGCCACTGGCATCCGTCAGCCTCCTGGGGATGGAGTGTGTGGGGGGGTGTGTTTGAGGTGGTCTCGGGACTTCCAGGGGGGTTTTCCCCATTTCCTGAGAGCCCCACATTCCCCTGAGCCATGGGGTGCCCTCGGGACTTCTAGGGCATCTCCCCATTCCCTTAAAAACCCCCCACACCCCTGAGCCATTGGGTGTTCTCAGCATTCCCAAGGAGGGGTTCCCCATTCCATGAGAGTCCCACACCCCCCTGAGCAATGGGGTGCCCTCAGGACTCCTGGGAGGGGTCTCCCCATTCCCTGAGATCCCTGAGAGCCCCACATCCCCCTGACCCACGGGGTGCCCTCAGCATTCCTAGAGGTTCTCCAAGTTCCCTATGAGCTCCACATCCCACTGACCCACGGAGCATCCTCAGGATCCTGAAAGGAGCTTCCTCGTCCCACAAGAGCCCCGCAGCCCTCCAAGCCATGGGGCATCCTCAGCACTCCCAGGGGGGTCTCCCCATTCCCTGAGATCCCCACATCCCCCTGACCCACGGGGTGCCCTCAGCATTCCCAGAGGTTCTCCCAGTTCCCTATGAGCCTCACATCCCACCAAGCCATGGGGTGTCCTCAGAATCCCAAAAGGAGCCTCCTCATCCCATAAGAGCCCCGCAGCCCTCCAAGCCACGGGGTGCCCTCAGCACTCCCAGGGGGGTCTCCCCATTCCCTGAGAGCCCCACATCCCCCTGACCCATGGGGTGCCCTCAGCACTCCCAGGGGGGTCTCAGAGCCCTCAGAGCCCCACATCCCGCTCACCCACGGGTTTCCCAGCCCCGGGATCATCCCCGTTCGGGGCCGGACCTGAAGAATCGCGCCTGGTGGGTGATGTTGTTCTCCTCCATGACGCGGCGCCGGTCCCGCTGCAGCTGCTCGATCTGCCGCTTCTGCGCCTCGGCCGCCGGCACGTTCCCCTCCTCCAGGTACCTGCGGGAGGACGGGACGCGGCTGTGACGAGCCGGGTGGCCTCGGGGCATCCCCTCCCCGGGCACCAAGGGGGTACCGGGCTCACCGCTGGTCGGGGCGCAGCCGCGTGTCCGTGGAGGGCAGGACCCGGCGCAGCTCCGGCGTGAGCTCGTTCAGCTCCAGGGCGAACTGGGTGAAGCCGTAGTTCCTCTCGTGGTCGCGGGGCATGGGGTCTGCAAGGGAGGGCGGGACTGCACTGAGAGAGACCCTCAGCACGGGGTAACCCCGGGATATCCATCCCCCAGGGGGGTCCTTACTGGCTTTCCAGACGCACTGGCCTGGGGCGGGCCCGCGGTGCAGCCCCTCGTGCCACTTGCCCGCCAGGCGCTCCACGGGGGTCCCGCTGCGGCTCAGCACGGCCCCCTGCACCTCGTTGGCCCCCGCGCCCCAGTACCGAGCCTGCGGCCACCGGGATGTGGGTGGGGGGTCGGGGGGGGTTGGGGGAAAAGGGGGGGGAAAGGGCGGGGCTATTGGGAAAGGGTGTGGCCATTGGGAAAGGGTGTGGCCACTTGGAAAGGGTGGGGCCATTGGGAAAATGTGTGGCTGTTGGGAAAGGGTGTGGCCACTTGGAAAGGGTGTGGCTATCGGGAAAGGGTGGGGCTATCAGGAAAGGGTGGGGCTATCAGGAAAGGGTGGGGCCATTGGGAAAAGGTGTGGCCACTGGGAAAAGGTGAGGCCACTTGGAAAGGGGGGGGCTACTGGGAAAAGGTTGGGGCCAAGCTTGATGTGAGGGGTCTTCTGAAAAAGGGTGGACTCGTTGGGAAAGGGCGGGGCTACTGGGGAAAGGGCGGGGCCACCAGTGATGGGAGGAGTCTTCTGAAAAGGGTGGAGTCATTTGGAAAGGGTGGGGCCAGGAGGGGCGGGGCTAATGGGAAAGGGTATGGCCAATGGAAAAGGGTGGGGCCATGAGTTAGGAGGTGGAGTCACTGGGAAAGGGTGGGGCACTAAGAGGGGCAGGGCTAACAGGAAAAGGGAGGAGCCACTGGGAAAGGGTGGGGCCAGGAGCAAGGGGTGGGGCTACTGGGAAAGGGTGTGGCCACAAGTAATGGGGAGGGGTCATAAAAAGGGTGTGGCACTAAGGGGGGTGGAGCTACTAGGAAGGGGTGGAGCTATTGGGAAAGGGCGGGGCCATAACCGGGGGCTGGGCCAGGAGAGGGGTGGAGCAATAACACAATTAAGATTAACGAGCAGGTGAAGGGGCGGGGCCACACCTGAAGGGGCGGGGCCAGGCCATTTCGGCGCAGAGGGGTGGAGCCAGGGCAGGTGGGAGGGCGGGGCTGTGGGGCGGGGCAGGTGGGCACACCTTGCAGAAGGTGAGCTTGCAGTGGTAGGAGGCGTCGCGGGTGTTCCGGATCAGCACCTCCCCGTAGTGCTCGATCCAGCGGGGCCCGCTCAGCACGTTGTGGATGCACGTGGTCACCTTGTTCCACTCGTAGTGGTCTCCGGTCCTGTGGGCACCACCCACGTTGGACGGGGAGGGAGAGAGGGCAGGGGGGCTTGGGGGGGTGTGGGGGGCCCACCAGCAGGGCTGGGGTCTCACCTGGGCAGCTGCACATTGACGGTGCCCATGGGGACGATCTCCAGGGACTTGCCCCAGAATTTGTTCTTCCACCTCATGTCTGGAGGGGTGAAGGGTGGGAGAAGGTGAGACCCCTCAGTCCACCCACCCCACGGGGGAGATATCCCAGCACCCAACACCCTCCTGGGCACTCACCCTGCCAGAAGATGAAGTTGTCGGACTCGGCGTGGCAGGCGGAGATGGGAGGGTGGTGGGAGACCTGCGGGGGGGACAAGAGGGACGTGCCAGTGCCCCGTCCAGCCCCGTGCCCCCCTCGTGCCCTCCCCGTGCCCCTCCCCAGTGCCCACCTGCTCGCTGATGAAGCGGAAGCCTCGGTCGGGCCGCACACACTCGTAGGTCTCCCCCAGGACGGGGTTGAAGGGTTTGCTGCCCGCCCGGTAGTAGGTGGAGGCGTAGGCGGACACGGCGAAGGCGGCCACGTACACCTGGCACCACAGGCACCACGCTGCTGCCACCACCCCGGGGACAGCCACCCATCCGCCCCGGGGACAGCCACCCACCCACCAATCCCCCACCCGGCCCCAGCCCCTGCCCTGTTCCCACAAGTCCCATGTGTCCTCGAGCTCCCCTGAGCCCCCTTAAAGCCTCGAAGTCCTCCAGTCCTTCCATGTCCTTGAGCTCCCTCGTGTCCTCAAGCCCCCTAAATCCTCAATCTCTCCTGTACCCCATGTCCTCGAGTTTCCCTGTGTCCCCTGAGTCTCTTAAAACCTCCCCAAGTCCCTCTGCATTCTCAAGATCCTCCATGTCCCCTCAGCCCCTCCTGGCCCTAAGCCCCCCTACCCCCATGTCCCTCGAGTTCCCCCTTGTCCCCTGAGCCCCCCCAATCCCCTGAGCTCTCCAAGTCCCTCTGTGACCCTCCAAATCCCCCGACCCCCCACATCCCCCACGCCCTTGCCCTCCTTGTGCCCTCTCCGCTCCAAAGACCCCTCTGTCCCTTGAGCTGTCCCTGAGTTCCCAAGCCTCATGTCCTCCCCGAGCTCCCTCTGTCCCCAGGTCCACCGAGCCCCTCTATGTCCCCCGAGCTCCCTGTGTCCCCAACCCCCCAGCGCTCCCCAAGCCCCCAATCCCCAGCGTGTCCCCTGAGTTGCCCCACGACCACGAGCCCCCAAGCCCCATGTCCTCCCCGAGTTCCCTCTGCCCCCAGGTCCCCTGAGCCCCTCTATGTCCCCCAAGCACCCCGTATCCCCAACCTCCCAGCGTTCCCTGAGCCCCCAGTCCCTGGTGTGTCCCCTGAATTCCCCCAAGTCACCTGAGCCCCTCTGTGTCCCCTGAGCTCCCTGTATCCCCAACCTCCCAGCTCTCCCCGAGCCCCCAGTCCCCGGCGTGTCCCCTGAGTTGCCCCATGACCCCAAGCCCCCCCTGTGCCCCCCGGTGTGTGTCCATCCCCCCTCACCAGTCGCTGCCGGGGGTCTCGGGCGCGGCTGGCGCGGTCCAGGAGCGCGCTGTACTCCAGCTCCTCGCAGAGCCGCTGCAGCGTATTCAGCGGCTCGTTGAGCTGCACGGGCAGCGCCACGCGGGACAGGTCCTTTCCCACGCTGCTCCTCAGGAGGCCCCACAGGCTCACGTCCCCCGACGGCGCGGGGGGAGCGGGCAACCGGCTCCGGCGCCGCGGGTCCGGCCCCGGCAGCTCCAGCGGCGCCGGCGGCGGCGGCTCCGGCTCCGACGGTGCCCCCGCACGCTCCGCTCCTGCCGGGCACCGGGCGCTGGGATGGAGCTGTGTCCCAGCCCCCCGGTGTCCCCCTCCCCGGGGCTGCCCCGTACCTGTCGGGGGGCGGCCCGGCCCCCCCGGCTCGGTGGCCTCCTCGCAGGCGCTGGTGGTGGCCTCGCTGGCGCACGACTCGTCGTCCGAGGGCTGGGGAGACGCGGGGACCGTCGGCGGCTTCGGGGGTCCCGGGGGAATTGGGGGGGGTATGGGGGGTACCCCATGGTAGGAGGGTGGGGGGCAGGGGGTTTAGCGGGAAGGGTCGCCCCGGAAGGATGGGATGAGACCCGGGATCCTGGGATGGGCTGGGGGTGTCGGGATGGGGAGGGGTGGTGCTGGTGGGGGAGCAGCGGCAAGGGGGGCTCTGGCAGCACCCAGCCCCCACCCCCGGGCTCAGAGAGAGCAGAGACCCCCAGCATGGGGAGCGAGGGGGCTGCGGGGGGCTGGGGGGGACACAGGGGCTGGGGGCACTACGGGGAGCTGGGGGGGTGCCTGATGAGGTGGGA